GTCCGAGTATAGCATGATATGCTGTCTCGAAATCAGCGACTTCGAAACAAACATTTTCTGTGCGAAAATTCTCCCGAGTGCCGAAGGTAACTCGAAGAGTGATCTGGCCGAGTGGTGTAGCTGACAATCCTGGAATAACACCATGGAAGGGTGTATTACTCGGCTTTAATTCCGTGCGAGGAATCTGCATATCGTCCAGGGTCTTAGCAAAAAGGATGTTGAGAGCGCTGCCACCATCGATGAGAGTCCGTCGGAGCTTGACATTGCGAACCACTGGGTCTAGTACCAGGGGGTACCGCCCCGGGTGGACCACTCGGTCGGGATGATCCGAGCGGTCGAACTTAATTGCTGTCTCTGACCACCGAAGATATTGGGGCATGTTAGGCTGGACCGCATTGATCTCCCGTTCTGTTAGCTTCTGTTTTCTCTTAGACTCATAAGCCAGGGGTCCGCCGAAGATGTGGTTAAGTTCTTTGCGATGATCTTGAAAATCAGTCGGGGCATCGTTTTCATCATCTTTCTTCTTTGATGTGCCCTGATCTCCGTCTGCAGGTTTCCGTGCGTTTTTAACGTATTGCTCTGCGAACTGTTTGTAGATGAAGCAATCTTTGGCCACGTGGTTGGAGTTGGGATGATGCGGACATTGGGAGTTCATTATCTTGTCGAAGGTGTTGACGCGGGGATGTTGTCGGGAAGATGGAGAGGTGGTCGCCACAAGTTCTTCGGGCTTACGCTTGCGATCCTTGTGGTTGTTACTTCCACTCCCCCCTGCGGTCGGCGTGTCCTTCTTTGGCTTCCAAGTGGTGCCCGACTGTTTGGACGCGGTGATAACATCTTCGGCTTTGGCATACTCGTTGGCTTTTTCGAACATCTGCTTAACCGTCCTGGGAGGTTTACGTCCGAACTTGCCGACTAGATCCTCGTGGCGAATGCCTTTAGTGAAGGCGGCGATGATGACGTCGTCGGTGATGTCGGAGATTTTGTTGCGTTGTTCGGAGAAGCGTCGGATGTAATCTCGAAGGGATTCTCCAGACTTCTGAACGACGTTGTAGAGGTCAAACTGTGTGCCGGGGCGTTCAAAGGTGCCCTGGAAGTTGGCGATGAAGTGATCACGAAGTTCCGCTCATGATCCGATCGTGCCACGGGGTAGTCCGTGGAGCCAGGATCGGGCGGAGTCCGCTAGGGCCACATGTAGATAGTTTGCCATGGCCTTGCTGTCTCCTCCTGCTGCGCGGATTGCGAGTCCGTAGACGGTGAGCCAAGACTCTGGATTAGTGGTGCCGTCATACTTCTCGATTCTAGTCGGCTTAAAGCCGGCTGGCCAATCCACTCGACGCAGGTCACTAGTGAAGGCAGCTACTCCATCCACGTCGTCGTCGTAGCGATTTGGTGAATGGCGGTGACCTCGTGCTGCACGGTGCTGGTTGATCGTGTCGCGAAGGTCAACGGGACGCTGGCGAGGTGGAGAGCGAGGCCGTTCAGCTCGGCGCTCCCTGTGACGTTCGGGAGGCGAGTGAACAGGTCGTTCGTCGTGACCCCTGCTCCTGCGAGTAGATCCTGTACCGGTGATTCTGAGGCTTGACTAATGATGATCATGGGATCGGAAGTGAGGGACTCGGCTACCAGTCGGGGTGCGGGTGCTTGCGGAGTTGGCTGGAACCAAGGCAGCGATCATGGTCTTCGTCTGGTTCAAGATGTTGACAACATGATCGGCTTGGTTGAGTGCGTCTTCCTTGAGGAGGGTGTCGAGGAGAGTGATTGCTGCAACCGCGTTCTGCTGGGAGGTGCGAAAGACCGCTGTCCCGTCGACGTCTTGTTGCCTAATGAGCTCTCTCGCATGGGGACCTGGTCTCTCCCCAACTGGTTTGAATCCGAGTCAAGGAGAGAGATCTTGCCGAAGTCGTTGGTGATGAAGTTGAGGCTGCCGAACCTGAACGCCTGCCCGGGAGGGAAGGCGAAGTCGTCGATGCCAGAAACGAAACCCATCGCACTTAGTCGGCGAGAACTTGACGCTGCCCCTACCTGGCGCGCTAACTGTCGAAACAAGATTTCGGCAATAATAAAAGGGGTGGCTATCAAGCTAGAAAAGTGGATGGGTTTGGAGACAAGGAATTTTATACAGGTTCAGGCCTTCTTATTCAAGAAGTAATACCCTACTCCTGTCCGGGGATGATTCCGCCGAGTGTGTTATTGATTGTATGATTGGGAGAAAAGAAATCGTGCCCCAAGAGGTACACGGACCCTCCTTATATAGGGGAAGGGATCCGTAATACAAAGTACAATCCATATCCTAACGGAATATGGAATTACAGATAAAATACAATCGTAACCGACTAGGATCCCGGGTATTTTCTTGACATACAAGTTTAGAACCTAACCCGAGTCCTCATAAAGATATTCTATCTATATTTGGTACCGTATATCCAGCTGGAATATAACCGCCATGTAGATATGGGGTAACCATAATCTCCACAAGCGCTTTCGTCTCTCCTGACGGTATCCGGAGACACCGTAGGGGAATAGCCATGCCTATCCCTGAAGTTGATATCCGGCGGCGTGTCTTGGCATACGTTGGCTTGTATGTTGTCTCGTGTATTGTGTTGGTTGTTGATTGTGGTGGGTCTCGATCGTGTTGATCGTCTGTCGATTGTCTTGTCTCCCCTCTCTTTTTAGGGGGTCTTGTATTTATACCTATAGGTGTCCCCTTGTCCAAGTAGAACTAGGGAAACCAATATGGATACAATCCGAGTAGTCCTGGTCGTTTCCATGTAGAACTCTGGTTGTCTTTCTTTATCCGGAACTCTCTCCATATCCGCAGGTTGTTTTCGTATAGGACATGGTATGTGGTGGGCCCTGCCGAGATGTAGTCGACTACTATTAGGTATGTGGTATTCATAACCCTGACATAGCCCTCAACAGCACAACCGTATAAGCTTGCCAATTAACACTTGTGAGCAATAATAATCTGAAACCCAACAACACCTTTTCCTGTCGGGCGGAAATGGCAAACCAAACAAGCAAAACCCCTGCTGGCTTGGCCAGGCAAGCATCAATTGAAGTCAAATTTGACAAAAATGAAGCTAAATATGCCAAACTTGTCTTAAGTCTTTCAAAGTTATGCCAAATTTGTTATAAATATGTCAAAAGTTTCCAAATAAACAAATCTTTCATATAACAGGGTGATATGACTAAGAGCAAAAATGGCAATTTACCTTTAGTTAACGATGTTATCTTGCCTTTATGGAATATGGTCAGTCTTAAGCAAACTCAAAATAGTAAGGTTAGATTGGTAGCTAAAACTAGTTGATACCACACGCTTTGCTACGGAATATGTGATGAATTAATTCATGTTACTCCCTCCGTTCTAGAATATAAGAAGTTTTAGAGTTGGACGTGATTATTAAGAAAGTAGATAAAAATAAATGGTGAAGGGTTGTGATTGGATAAGTAGTGGAGGTAGGTGGGAAAAGTAAATGGTGGAGGGTTGTGATTGGTTGAGAAGAGAATGTTGATGGAGAAGTTGTTATATTTTAGGACAAATCCTGAGAGCAAAAAGTTTATATTTTGGGACAGATGAAGTATATATTATAGAAATGGTAGATGTATATATTTAAATAATGTGAAAATGATGTGGAGATAATGATTTGATATTTGTTTGCATATTGAGTTCTAAAAATACAATAAAAATATAAATGGTATGTTTTGTTTGCATGATATTTAAAATATTCTAGATAATAATTTCTAGTAAGTGATGATGTGATACACTTGCATGTGATTTAAAATATTCTAAATAATACTACATCTGTCCCATAATATAAATATTTTTAGAGGTGGACACGGTTATTAAGAAAGTACTACTAGGTAGAAGTGAATGATGCAGTGTTGTGATTTGTTGAGTAGTGGAGGTAGGTAGAAAAAGTAAATGGTAGAGAGTTGTGATTGGTTGGGAAGAGAATGTTGATAGAGAAGTTATATTTTGGGACAAATCTTGAGGGCTAAAGTTGTTATATTTTGAGACGGGGGAGTAATTGCTAATGGGTGATGATGTGACACATTTGTATGTTGATGAGACGGGGGAGTATTTGTATGTTGATGAGTTTTAAAAATTAGTGTACGTCAATTTTAAGATAGAATTTAGAAAAGGGTCGAATAAGAAATTACCCCTGATTCGGTATAAGGTGGCTCGGCGGATGGGTAACAAAGGCGCAGTGGGCTAAGCTTGGCAAGTATGAAGGACAATTGGGCCGAGCCACACTTGATAGAAATGACTTCAATCGAAGCCAATTTGAGGTGGGCTGCCTGTAGAATTAATGGATGGTTAATCCGGGCTTAATTGGTTCTAGCTAGCTAGCAGAGTAAGAATGAAGAGAGATACGAGTAGCAACGAAGGTACAAGTGGAATCGGTTGCCTCAGATATCTAGACAGATGTGTTTAATGACGTAGATTTGACCGAACAAATTGTACAGTAATGTACTAGGATATAACGAACAGATAGAGAGGCATTGCATTTGCACGGCCGCTGTGTTTGAATTAATTGATGGACAAATGAAACACAAAAAAGGGTCACGGTGGACAAGGATGCATGGCCAGCCGGTTGGTAATGTATGATAATCCTATTGGAAATGGTTGCACTGGTCCAGTACCAACTGCATGCTGCTTGCCTGCCACTGCCATGAGCCCATGAGTGAGAGTGAGGAGTAGCAAAGTGCATGCCAGCATGTGCAGCACGCAGAGACAGAGGGCACGTGCCTTGGCTGCATGCGATGCGTTTGTATGCATGCGTGCGTATGGCATCTTTCTTTCTTCTTTCTAGCTCTAGTGGATCCAATATCGAGTGGGGTGGGGGTAGTAATTTCTCCATTTCTTTCTGTGCATCGCAAACACTTTCCAATGCAACACAGCTAAGCTAGTAGTACTACGCCAGGAGCATTCTGCAGTGCGAGCATGCCAGGCCAAGAGTAAGTATAGAGATAGATGATCTGTCCGTCTGTCCGTCCGTCTGTCTCTGTCTGTATTGTAAAGCGCATGCAATGCAGTGAGAATTAGTCATGAATGAATGTAGTATTATCCAGCTCTCTCTTCTCGATCGCCACTACCAGCCGCATGCTGCTGGTGCTATACATACTACATACGTACAATTAATAATTATTATTTCCAGTACCATATAGTATTATTCTTGTCTAATAATCTAGCTAGCTCCAAAGCCAAAGCAGAGTGGGTACGAACGAGGTATACATACATACATAGCTTAATTAGCAGCACGGTAGCTCTAAGACGGATCGATCGATGCAGAGCAGCAGCAGGCAATGGCATCAGCAATGGCGTCGTCCCAGTCCCATCTGGATCTGGTACAGCTGCTAATCGTTGTGGTGATGACTATGACGATGCTGGTGGGTGGCGGCGAGGCGCTGAGCCTGGACTACTACGCCAAGAGCTGCCCCAAGGCGGAGGCGGCGGTGGCGGCGGCGGTGAAGCAGGCCATGGCCAAAGACCGCACGGTGCCGGCCGGCCTGCTCCGCCTGCATTTCCACGACTGCTTCGTCAGGGTAACTAGCTAGCTACTCTATCGAATTCGAATATATATATATTAACATCAATGAAGGAAGCTGCTAGCTAGCTGCAGGGGTGCGACGGTTCCGTGCTTTTGGACTCGTCGGGGAACATGTCGGCGGAGAAGGACGGCCCACCCAACGCGTCGCTGCACGCCTTCTACGTCATCGACAACGCCAAGGCCGCCGTCGAAGCCCTCTGCCCCGGCGTCGTCTCCTGCGCTGACATCCTCGCGCTGGCCGCCAGGGACGCAGTCGCCATGGTAATCCGGCCGGCCCTCAATCAAATTAAGTAGTAAATACAGGAGTATATCAATATATAGCTAGATGAGATGGAGTACTAAACGTACGTACGTACTGCATGCAGTCCGGTGGTCCTTCTTGGCAAGTGCCGGTGGGTCGTCGTGACGGGCGCGTGTCGCTGGCGAGCGAGACGACGACGGCGCTACCGGGGCCGACGGCGAGCTTCGACCAGCTGAAGCAGGCGTTCCACGGGCGCGGGATGTCGACCAAGGACCTGGTGGTGCTGTCGGGGGGTCACACGCTTGGCTTCGCACACTGCTCCTCCTTCCAGAACCGCATCCAGCCGCAGGGCGTCGACCCCGCGCTTCACCCCTCCTTCGCCGCCACCCTCCGCCGCTCCTGCCCACCCAACAACACCGCCAGGTCTGCCGGCTCCTCCCTCGACCCCACCTCCTCCGCCTTCGACAACTTCTACTATCGGATGCTGCTCTCCGGCCGTGGCCTTCTCTCCTCCGACGAGGCGCTGCTCACCCACCCCAAGACGCGCGCCCAGGTCACGCTCTACGCCGCGTCGCAGCCCGCCTTCTTCCGTGACTTCGTCGACTCCATGCTACGGATGAGCTCCCTCAACAACGTCGCCGGCGAGGTCCGAGCCAACTGCAGGCGCGTCAACTAGCTAGCTATTTCCACTAGCATCATATCGATCACACTATCTTATCTTATCCACCACACCATCCCTGCACTGCATGTATGGCCTCAACTCAACTCAACTTATGTACAACAACAATATAACGTCGAATGGCTATAGCATCTTTTAATTTGTTACTAATTTTAATTTTCCAATATCCATGGCCCATGGCAGAGTCTCAGTCTCGGATCGATCAAAATAGACCTCCGCTTCTCTGCAGATCGATCGAGAACCAATCCAACAAACACTAGTTAATAGTTTCCCATCTCAATTATTACTCACGATATATTGCTAAGCAAGGACGATATATAGCATCTATAACCAGCAATATAATGCTCCTCAAAATTAAACCAAGTGTCCAACAGCAATATATATATACATGCGTGCATCAAGATTAATTTGTATATTGTTCGGTAACCTATCTAAAGATCTTATCATAGCAATTAGCTTAGCTATCTGTATTTTTCGACGACCTGGTTATGGCCGGATCCAGCTTCTGGCGATCCTAGCTAGGGGGCGTGCTCTCAACACCGTTGCTCAAGTAGTTGCCATCGGGCTACGGGAGCTTCGAATCAGCACATTCGCCCTACCCCATTGCTGCTGTAAACCTCTCCGATCGAACTGGTGAAGATGGTGGGCCAAGGTGCCGCCGGCGCGCGCAACTCGCCACCTTCCTTCCCGTTGCAAGCCACCTCCCGTCACCGTCGCTGCTGTCACTCAAAGCCTAGGAGGAGGTCGAGCACAAATCACCGTAAATCTGCAACTGAAGTCGTCGTTGCTATGAGCATCGACATCGGTGATGTCCGTGGGCACCACACGCCTTCTTGGAGGTGATGCTGATAGATCCTCCTGGTGAAAACTTAGTTTCAGATGGGCGGAATAGTAATGGCATCGGAGGTTTTATGTTGGTGCGATACTCTTGGTGGCTGCGTTTTTATCAGATTGGTTTACTGGGTTTTATGTCAAATCTGGGTGGATGACTGTTTATAGCTAAGTTACTCTTCTATGTCATCTTCCGCTTTCATTCGACATTAGTTACTGCCGATGATATTGTTGATGCTGAAAACATTAATGTATGTAGATCTGCTTAGTTTTAGTGCAGGTCCTAAATTATTGATGAGATGCGAGCGTGCTAGCCAGTTTGATTCTGCAAATGATAAAATAGATAAATCGATGATCAAAGAGTCGATTGGCCAATAAGCCGATGTAGCGGTAATAGCCGATATCGATAGAGTTTTGAACAATCAGCTATATGTCCGATATAGATTCTGATACTTGAATAAATGATACAAAGATAATTGGACAAGCAGTGAACTTATAATAATACAACAATATAATTCAATAAAAACCAATGGACCAATAATAGTATGATTGAATAAATACTAATCCGATGGTTAAAGTATATATCGGCTGAAAACCCGATGTCATTAAATCCAAATGATTAAGTAATCAATGAAACTTTTGTTGCAATCAGCTAAAACCAACTTGTATATAATCTCTATAAGCCGATAGAACACTTAAACAATGTCCAAATAACTCATCGGCTGAAACCCCGATGAAACAATGATTGATGCCTACTGACTTAAATAAATATAACTTACAACAACAACCTCATAGGTCGAGCCTAACCGATGCAGCATAAGATTGATAATTGCCTAATAGATTTAAACAAGCCGAGATGATACCGATCAAATTTGTCATGCATTAAATTTAACTAAGATAGAAAAACCATCAAAGAGAAATTTAATACATCAGATAAGATCGACTAAACCTCTGATGAAACATTAGCATGCACCTATTTGCTTAACAAGATTTAGATTATCGGTACCAATCTAGTAGGTTAGAACTAACCGATGCAGCACGAGATTGTACATGATAATTTAATACTCAATAAGTCGATGAATCTATCTAATGTGATAGATATAACAAATCTATTTAAAATCATATTGTGATTGTAGAGATATATCGACTAAGACAAGACCAGGGCTAATGAAACTTAGGGTTTACCTCTTCGCCAGAGATCGAAGCCGATGTAGCCCCGCGTCAGGTGCCAAGTTCTGTTGGTGATAATAACCTTGCAAAAGAGGGCAGCTATGCACTGAGAATATTTGTGGAGATAGATTACAGGGATCCAGGGTGTACATAGTTATACCCATAGGCCGATAAGAGTCCTAATTTGACATGACGCAATATTTCTTAAAGATAAAGAAAAGATACTAAACACACTTTCCTCGAAATAAAAAGAAAACTAACTGACTATGCTCAATTAATAGATAAATTAACATACCGCATCCTCCTTAAACTCGGCCTCTTCTGGATAACCTTCTTTTAATTAATTAATTTCCTTAACTGAATCCATAAAAAATCCAACTATTGGAGGCTGATAATATCCATCGACCCATTTTAGGTATATGAAGCCGATACTTCCTCTAGGCGAATGATAACTTTGGATTTTACCAATTTTGACGTTAACAGATATATGCTCATCGATCGACATAATGATCACCTATTGATTATCAAGATGTTGTTTTTTTGGAAAACAATGTTAGTATAGTCATTTTGTTCTGAACTAGCATGGTGGCCCGCACAGATTGCTCGGCTAGCACTGTTATATTTTCTCACATAAATAACATATATATTTTCATATATTATTATTAGAATGGCAACATAATTTGAAATTATGTACTAAGTAGAACAAACTAACCAATATATAATTTTTATATTGTATTGTATACACGTGATAGTTATCAATTATTTTTTTAATTCTGAATTTTAGTTATTTTGAATTGTATTTCTATATGGACTATGAATTCCTCTTCCAATATTCTTTATTTTTTAATTCGAAGTTCCATTATTTACTCCTATTTGAATATTTTTTTAGTTTCAAATTTTTGTTATTTGTAAATTATATTTCTATATAAACTCTATAATATTGTTTCAATATGCCTTATTTTAAATTTTAAATTTTAGTTATTTATAAATTGTATTCCTATATGGTCTCTAAACTCTTCTTCTAATATTTCTTATTTTTAAATTCCAAATTTCAGTTATTTCTAAACTCTTTCTAAAGTGTATTTCTACATGGACTGTAAACTCTACTTTTACTTTTTTCTTATTTTTAATTCCAACTTTCAATTCTTTTAAATTCCTTTATGAACTCTAAACTTTATGAATTTTAATTATCTCTAAATTGTATTCCTATATGGACTCTAGACTCTTCTTCCCATATTCCTTAATTTTTAATTTTATTTATTTCTAAAATGTATTTCTATATGGACTTTGACTATACTTTTATTTTTTAAATTTTAAATTTCAATTAAGTCTAAATCGTATTCCTTTATGGACTCTTCTTCCAATATTTTTTTAATTTCTAATTTTAGCTATTTAAATTGTATTTCTATATGGACTCGTTTTTTATTTTTTTTATTAATATGAGAATTTTTAGGCCGTGAGAGCGAACATGGAGACTCTTTTTTTATTATTTTGATATGTTAATAGATTGTAACCCCTAATAAAAAAAATCATACAAAATGTATGTCATTTTGAAGAAACAATGATTATGTAGATTCTCATCAACCATAGATGAAAAACCTCAATCTTTAAGGTGGTATTTTAAATAGCTTTCTTATGTTTTAATCAACCCGTGATTTTGTAATTCATATCCATTCATCGTACGACCTCTGTAATAATTGGTTATAGTTTCTTAGGAATGAAATATATTATTAAAAAAATATGTTTTTGAAGAAATAATAATCCCTCAATCATTCTTACTTCTCTAGGCTCGTATAGTATAAATGTAATAATAAAAAAATAGGGTCGAAAATTGTTGTTATTATGATCGCCATCACACCATGTTCATCGAATAGGGGCTTCTCTGCAAAATGTTTTATCTTATTCTACTAGTACTAGTAGGGATGAAAGGAAGGTAATGTAATAGTGGAGTTTTTGTTGGACCTGAGTGCAACTCAGTGTCTGTCGGCTTTTGCTTCTGCTTCTGCTTCTGGTTCTGGTTCGCCTTCCTAGTTCCTACCCCCACCAGCAAGCAGCAGCTGAGGTGAGGTCCGTGGCGTTGGAGTGAGGACTGAGGAGGAAGAAGAGGGCGGGATCTAGGGTACCGGATGCGCTGGCTGTGCTGAGTGAGAGTAGAGATGAGCGCGTCTCGGTTCATCAAGTGCGTCACCGTGGGGGACGGCGCCGTGGGCAAGACCTGCATGCTCATCTCCTACACCTCCAACACCTTCCCCACGGTAGGCAATCCGTTCTTTCCCCCCTTCTTCTTCTCGATCCTTCCTGCCCGCCCGAGTATGCATCTGATCGACTCCATGGTAAACATTCTTTTTCTTGTCTTGGGACTGGGGACTGGGGACTGGGTGTAGAGAAGACATAGATCAGCTTTCCTTCCCTTTTTGCTTGCTAAAATTTGGGGACTGATGATTATGATAACGTTATTCTTCTATACGCGTCCTTCTCTCTGCGGGATCCAGGTGCCTTCTTCTCCAGGTATAGGAATTAGGATAGTATTGCCGATTTCTCAGCTGCCAACATTCACTCCTTATACAGATCTAAATATACACTCTTTAGCTTCACCTCCAGATTTTGTTGTATTACTATCAGGAGTAAATAATAAACTCATAAATATATGTTGCGGTATGTCTGACTTTTTGTCTGCTATTACTAACCGTGGCTCCATCATTCCGTAGCTAATCGCCACCATTGACCTCTAGACGTTTCTCTTTGTTGGTGAATTTGTTTTAGCTCTGTATCATTCTAACCGTGACCTCTGTCAATCACCGTCAGTAACTCAGCTACCCCTTTTCGTTTTGTGCGAAAAAATAAATCTAATGTATTGCATCTTTGCATTTTTAATTGGCAGACTGTATGTTTAATGGGACATTTCTTCATCTCTATGTTACAGGACTATGTTCCAACTGTTTTTGATAACTTCAGTGCAAATGTTGTGGTCGATGGGAGCACTGTGAACTTGGGGTTGTGGGATACAGCAGGTTCTACTTTCCCCTCCTTTTAATGGATGCATGCGTAAACCTCCTTATATACATCCACCTTTCACGGTCATCAAAATAAATAAAAATTTGACAAATTTAACAGGACAAGAGGACTACAATAGGCTACGCCCGTTGAGCTATCGTGGCGCTGATGTTTTCCTGCTGGCCTTTTCTCTGATCAGCAAAGCAAGCTATGAGAATGTTTCTAAAAAGGCAATAAAATCTTGCCGCCCACTTTCTTTGCTCTCTCTCCATGAAGTACCTTAGCTTAGTCAACCTGTTATCTTGCACTGACACATATATATTTCTGTTGTCAGTGGATACCTGAATTAAGGCATTATGCTCCTGGTGTGCCAATAATTCTCGTTGGAACAAAGCTTGGTATGCCCTTCCAACTCTTGTTGCATAGCATTTGTGCAAAGCATCACATATCTGTAGAATTAAGCTATTATATTTTCACTCCCACTTACCAGCAGCTTGGCGTTGCACTTAACTGAGTGGTGATTGCTGTCTTCCTATAAATTGTCTCATCATTTGAGTGCTTGTGTGCTGTGAACACTCTATGAAAGCATGTTTGTATATGTAAATTCAATTTTACTGTTATTCACAGCAAAGCCATATGCTTATGATATCTGAAAATCATATTTAAATGTAAAATATTTGCATGTGGAAATCTATGTGAACATGGTTTCATGGAAGACAAGATATTTGAATTCGACGATAGCATGATTGCTGCCCAGCAGTGTTTTGACTGAATATATGGCATTATACCTTGAAACATGTTACCTGTAACACATGAAGTGTTATATGCTATCAGGGGACATTTGTAGATGCTTGGTGACCTGGTGTCCCTCAGGATTGCAGGACATGCATTATATCAAGAATGTTTGTTTTTTGGTGGGTGACATCCTTAGACTAACGCTGAATGTTTTTTTTTTTCAAATTTAGATTTTGTGGGGAATCGGTAGCTAAGAGTCTCTTATTCCACTATGGGTGGCATAGTTCCATTAGAATTGCTGGATAAAAAATCTATGTGGTTTAATGCTAGTCAATAATAAAGGAGAGTTAAGGGTTTGTCCAGGGCCGTCTCCAGGAATTGGGGGCCCCGGAGCGAAATATAATTTGAGATCCTAAATTTACTTTTGATTCGGTCCTTAATTTAAATTCGTAATTATATTCATGGTAATTTGATTTGAAAAGAAGAGTACTGAAATATTCAATTGATCATTACATGCATGCAATTCAACAATTGAGTATCAACAATTCAGTATTAGAAACTCTAATATGATAGACGAGGTAGTCGGCCAGCTGCTCTGGGCATCGTAACCATTGATCAAGGATTCAGAAGCTGGTTCGCATGCATGCACATGAACACACACATGACATCAGTTGTATATGCTAAGGCTGGCTGGTTGTACTGGTCTCTCTGATTTGGGGGCCCCAAATTTTTGTGGGGCCCTGCGCTGACGCTCCGTTGGCACGCCCTCGTTGACGGGCCTGGGTTTGTCCCATCACCTTATGGCTCATTTTCCTGTTTTGAACAAACTTATGGCTGTCTTATGGTAGAAAGCTGGAGATGTAAATCATTTCCATTATCTAAGAATGTTTGAAATTAATGCTTTCTTTTTTTGCTTGATTGTTAACCATTACCTCAGCAACATTTCACATGCTATGACAGTTGAGTATCATAGCTAGTTTGAGAGACAAATGAGCATGCAATGGTTTTGTTTGTATTTCATTGAGACCTTGACGATCCTGCCCTGCAAATGGGTCTTTACTAGTCTCCAAAGTTAAGCCTGTGACCTATACTCCAGTTGGTCCTGTACATATCACTTATTGATTTATGATCAAGAAAAGAAAATTCCTCTGAAATATATTTTGTCTTGTTCCTTCAGCAAATGCTAAATGTTGATAAATCTGCATTTCTAGTTTTCATGCTAAGTTGCTAATAAAAAGGCACATATGACCCGATCCAATACCTTACACTGCATGATTGAATACCATGAGAATTCCATTCTGTTGATCTCACAAGGCAGGTGGGCTTTTAGGATTGTCCCCTGGGAACACATCCTCTGTAGGCTATTTATTCACGGTTTCATACTGCATGCTCAGTTAAAATGGCATCTAGCGAACATTTGAAAGGCTCAAAATGGATGTTCACCATTGAATTTCTGCTCCAGCGGAGCAAGTTATAAATAGATAAAGCCTGTACAGCTAACAGCAAGTTATAAATAGATAAAGCCTGTACAGCTAACAGCCTTGTCAACTTACTGGCCTTAGAGGCAAGTTAGGTGGTTAGAGACTTAGTCCTCACTGACCAAAATGGGCTCTTGTTAGATTATGTTCTTAAGTTGGATTACTGGAGTTAGAAATCAGGTTCGATGTAGCAGCTTTGGTGGTGCAAGTTGTACTTTGCTCCTGATACAATCATACACAATATAGTTTTCAGAAACATGTCCTAGCCTCAGCATGTAAATGCAATATTCTTTTGCTTTTCTGTTCATTGTGCTTTTATTAATCACTTGCGTACTTGATGTAATCCGGCGGTGCTTAACCATTAAGTTACTGTTAATAGATCTGCGGGATGATAAGCAATTTTTCGTAGATCACCCTGGTGCTGTACCTATTTCCACTGCTCAGGTATTCAAAGCTTAGTTTGCTTGTATTTTTGTTGCTTCCCAGCATTGTTACACAAGTCATTAAAATTATTTTGCTAATCAATGTAGGGCGAAGAGCTGAGGAAACTCATTGGTGCAGCGGCATACATTGAATGCAGTTCAAAAACACAGCAAGTACTACATTTTATTCTTCTTTTTTGAAAAAGGGTTCATTTTACTCCCTCAAATTATTTTGCCAAAGGGCCTAGGTTTTTATGGTTCACCCCTTAAACTAGTAAAAGGGACTCTACTCCCTAATACCATTTCACTTTTTTATTCTCCACATACGGCAACAGGACCTGTGTTTACAGTTTTTTCATGACAATTGACATGCGGTTTTAAATCTCCATGTTTAATCAGTGTTAGGTGCTTGCAACTTGTGCAAACAGTGATCTTTTAAATATATAAAAAGGTTGAGACATATGGTGTAATACGATTTATCATCCCACAAACTTAACATACAACTTTTATAAAGAGAAACAAAAAATAGTGAGCCCAAATATAGTTGAGGGGTTTGATTGCTGATCCGGTGATTTTTGAATCAATGCTGATCCGGTGATATAGTTGAAGGGAGTAAAATGGACTTGTTGCGTTGAGCTCCATTGCGGTGGCATGGTTACTGATTGCTGCTGCTTTGCCTTTGCAACTGCAGAACATCAAGGCAGTTTTCGATGCTGCGATTAAGGTGGTTCTCCAGCCTCCAAAGCAAAAGAAGAAGAAGAAAAAGGCGCAGAAAGGATGTGCCATCTTGTAATTAAATGGTAGACAGTGCAGTGCAGATCGATGTATCCCTTCATTTGTAGCCTCTGGCTTCAATCGTCGCTTGTTTGTATAATTACGCTAGATGCCACCGGCAGAAGATATAATATAGTCCTCCTGCCTTTGTGGTGTTGGTCTCTAAGGTCGTCCAGACTCCAGAGTCCAGACGCATTTGGTTTCTTTTGTTCTATCTATAATCAATCTATCTATATCTGCTAGTGTTGTGCTTCTGCTAGTTATGCGGATGAGAAAGGGAATTTACCTTCCCTGTTTCTGGGCTTCTGGCTTGCACGGGAAAGGTCGGTTTGTTTGCAATATACTACTACCACTCCAGCTTGCTAGGTTGATTAAAATAAGCTACCAGTAAGAATCGATATGACGTATCAGCATTTTATTAAATCAGTGATTAATTTTATCATAACCTTATATTCTACTCTCCGATCGTTCTCCATCTCTTTCCCTAGCGGTCTTGCAATGCTTGGTGCCGTGTCCTCGATGGGAGGATCATTTTGGCATCGCCATTATGTCTCCCTCTTTGTTTTTCACAGTGAGTTGCATGGCCATATGTAAGTTGTGTTTAGTTAAGCGTAAAGTTTGGATAAAGTTTAGATTTTGATTGAAATTAAAGATAATGTGACTGAAAAGTTGTGTGTATATGACATATTGATATAATGGAAAAGAACTGAAGTTTGGATCCAAACTTTATATCTAAACAAGACCGTAATATCGAAATCCAGAACAGTACTGAAGTTAAAAGCGCAAAAGCAGTTGACCTTGGCATGATCACACACGGCATCTGGACTGGCTACATCAAACGATCGGTATATATAGGCATCCGTTGATCTTGTTATTGTTGCTGATATGCCTTACAATTAATTATAGAGATGATTGCATCACATACTATATTTATAACTTTGAAATAGATAACTCATTATTGGTTAATGAATATGTGATTTATTCATGTGACCTTTTTATGTTGTATGTTGCTATTTCTAAAGAATCCTTAATCAAATATCATATGTGGAACAAATATGGTTTAATGATCAACACATGTATTGAATGATCATGTCTTATGAATCATGGTATGGAGGCACCAAATTAATAATGTGGACACATGTTGGAAAACATGTTGTTGGATAGATCTAACATGAGAGGCTATATATGACGTGCCATCAGTGATCTTATTTAGTGTTAGTGTAAATCCTTAGACCTGAGATTATTATGATTCCCAATATATGTAGTAGCTTACTTAGGACTGCCAAACGCTACTCCGTGATTTAGTAGTTATAAAAGTAGTCTTCGGGTATGCTATGAAACATGTAGTGGGATAGAATAATCAAGATGGATGTGCCCCTCCTATGGAGAGATATCTCTGGGCCCCTCAATGTTATAGATTATAGAAGTACATAGCCATGCCAAAGTGATTGAGTAGTCAATTACATGTTAAATAATCTATCAAAAGATCGAATGAATGATTGAGCTATTAAAGGATGGTACATATTTAACCTTGAGCTTAATCGATATCGTGAGGCGAAGGGGTTCATACAAGTGTATATAAAGGTTCAATCGATATGATCTTTATGTATGTTCTGCTAGGAGCCGCTGTTGACACGTGGACTGAAAAGGAGTTTCCATGTTGTAGCAGAGTGTACATGAACCTACGGAGTCACACACTCAATAGGCCGAAATAAGAGAATTGGATGAAGATCCAATATGTACTTAATTCGGATAGGGATCCGAGTATGATTCTTATGTGTCTCCAGGCCCAGTTACTTATATATTCTTGAGGTGATGTGACTGGTGTCCCACAAGAAACTCTAGCCGTCCTCTCCCGAGCCAAACCCTAGCCACACGCGGGCGCTAGCACATCCGCGCGTGGCATTCCGCCTTTAGACGTGTAGATATCGGTAGAGACGCCGCTGGTTTGCGGTGCTGATCGACGTGAGAGCACGGCAAGGCAAACACACGAGACGGAGAAGGTTGGACTGCTGCGATCAATGCTTCCTCAACATAGACGTGCACTACGTCGCCGATCTTCTTTCGGCTTCTTAACGCCTACTTCTACTGCACAATGTGTTGAGTAGTAATGATTCATGATTTTATAGTTGCATGGTTTCTGGTTAATACAGTAGAAAAATTTTGATTCATGGTATAATAGACTAATCAGATGCTATCAGCTCTCCTTTCAAGTCGATCTGAATGTATTATTTAAATGAATTCTCGTGAAAGCGGCAGTTGTGCAGATATATTTCATGAAGAAATAAATGGAATTGCGGAGGAAAAGGAAGCCGTCGCCGCTGGCGGTGGTGGCCCCTCCAATGATGATTGGTTTACAAGAATGTTGTTTGAGTGCTAGGTTACAATTTTACCCATCCGTATTCATATTTCTTTTACAATTATACCCCTTCATATTTCTACTACTTTACCTTAACTGTACTAGGTTACATTACAATTTTACCCATTTATATTCATATTTCTTTTACAACTATACCTCTTCATATTTATACTACTTTCAAAATATTTCTACTACATTTAAATAAGATGGTAATATAAATGGATTCCTTAATAAGATGGTAGTATAAATAAGATGGGTAATAATCTCTCTGACGAAGGTCTGTTTTGAGATGGAATGAAGATAGAAATTAAGTACGAACATGTAAAGTGAAAAGTCTATTACGTACTCCCTCCGTCCCGGAAAATATCGATTCCTGGATTCCCGAGGTAGGACGAAAGTGAAAATACCAAAGTACCCTCATTAAGGTCAACACTGCCGCTATCTATATCCATTAATTAATACTACTAGTACAGCACGTACAGGAAACATCTATGACAGAAAAAAGGGGCAAAATAAATTGAATTTTTGCACTGCCGAAAGAAGAACATCTCAGCAATATGAAAAAACACATACAGGAGACATCTATGACAGAAAAAAAAGGCAAAATAAATCGAATATTTGCACTGCCGAAAGAAGAGACATCTCAGCAATCTGAAAAAAAAAAGAATTGCTCTCAATTCAGATGAAAGAACTAATTTTTACATTTGTCAGAGAAAAGATAGCATCCCTCCAATCAGGGAAAAAAATAAATGATTTTAATTCACCTGTATGAACTAGCAAGTACCAAGAACATAGAAGAACCAAGAATAGAGAAAAAAAAGGAAATCTGCATCAGATCCCCAACGGCACCGCATCCAGCAGTCACCTCCACCTTCTCCATGAAAACAGCATGCCACTGTCTTCGCTGCCGCTGCATCCATCCGACGCCACCGTCGGCTTCAATGGACCTGCTTCCCCGCAAACCTTTGCCTCAGCCGCCACATCCCAGCCGCCGCATCGGACGCAGAAAATCACGGCTAGAGGAGAGTGAGGGGTGGAGCAGGACTGCAGGAGGGAGGGGGAGAGGGGTGGAAGGGGCAGGAGGATCGGCGAGGTTCCACATCTGGACGCCGCCGCGAGAGAACGAGAGAGAGATGCGAGAGGCTTGGGAACAGTGGCGGGCCCAGGATTTTAAACTTGTGTATTCGAAATAGAAAGGGGTAAAAAAAATTTGTTCATAGACCTAAAAACCTAATAATTGGCTAATTGGCTTGTATAGTATCACAAACTAATAATTATATAATATATAGCGTATATAGCATAAAATTGAGCATAAATTCACACATTGATAGAATTGATCATCATTTGAAATTGTTTAACATATAGAATACTAATTAGTAAACATATCAAAGTGCCAACATATGAAATACATAAAGGGTAGAAAATGATAAATTGGGAAGAAATCTTACAGTTTGGAGATCAACTTTTCGTTGTTTGATATTTTGGAAATAAGTGATGATGTCCTTGTCTTTAATTTGCAAGAAAAATTCTCTTTCAATGAATGTAACTAAACAATCATTCAACTATTGTTGCCCTATCTTGCTTCTCAAGTTCATACATTATGATACAAAGCACAAATTAGCATATATGATGCACAGAAATATGTTTGCTAAGTCGCTAGTAATCTCAATTAAAAAAAGGTTGTTAGCCCATTACTAGTTCATCCAACATCAGGATCAGGAACACATGGATGCTAAACATAGAAAATCATGCGAAACTGAAATCTTGATGCAAAACCTAAGTACCGAGGGGATTCACATGAGACAGGAGCTAGGGATTAAACCAAACCAGGAGGAAGGATCGCCGGGGGGTGCGGTCGTTACCTCGGGGCTCGGGACTTGATTTCTTCGCGCTGGGCCTCGAGGCGGGTAGAGCTTGTCGTCCATGGCCGCACTGCCGCTGTCGCAGCAGGCCGCGCGTCGCGCCGCAATGCCGCTGTCGCCGCAGGCCGCGCCGCGCCGCTGCCTCACGAGTCAGCCGCTGCCCCGCGCCCTGGCGCCAAGCCGAGTGGTCCTCTTCCTGCGTCGACGCCTCCACGGCCGTGCGCCCGCTCCGCCGCCACCCTAGGAGATGCTGCGCCAGTGCGTCCAGCCGGCAGCCGCCCCTGCCTGGCTGGCTGCCCCGCGGTCGCCGGCTCGCCGCCGCCGTACACCGCGCCCGCCGCCGCACCGCACGCCGCACGCAGCGCCCCCCGCCGCCCGTCTCCTTGCAAAGCTAGGGTTAGGTTAGGGAATTTGGGAATTGGGGATTTTGGGTTAGCTGCCTGGCAGGTGAGTTTGGCTTCGAAATGGTCTTAGTTGCGGCCCAAGTAGACTACGGGCCGAGTGAAAGGGGGAGGAAGGTGGAAAATTTAGACCCAATAGAGAAAGAAATGGCAAAACGAGGCCCAAATGAGTAGTTTAAGTCTTTTTCTTTAACTTTTTGAATACATATATGAACTATAGAGTATATATACCTATTTTTTGTCTAAAAATCTTGGGTATAGGGTTTAGGGTATACATCTGAATACCCTTGAATTATAGCTGGGCCCGCCCCTGCTTGGGAAGAGATAAGGTTTGGGCGTGTAAACGGGGGAGGTCGTTGCCCTCTATATCCACTGCTACTACCCTCCGTATTCATTAGTATGGCCCACAAACGATTGGATGGAGTTTCTCGTTTTTTTTGCTAGAATCGGTTTTTTTTTGACAAACCCCTCAGGATTCGATTTATTTAATTAGAAAATAGGTTTATTTGATATTTTAGAAAAAAACCATTTTCTTACTAAGCATACATTTAATAATTAAAAAAATGCTAACACAAATCAAAATAAAATATGTATCTTAATCGGAATCAGAAAAAGGAACGAGACCGGCAGGCACTGAGATACACCGGTAAGTACTAATAATAAACTTGTAGTACTGGGAGGAGGAGGAGGATGAAGAAGAGCAAAGGCACAGCAGCGGCGGCGGCGCTGCTGCAGGAGAGAGAGAGACTAGTGTTGTCAGGGACGCTGAAGCAGCCGTGAGACTGGTGGACGCCCTTGCCGGCGGCCTCGAGCAGGAAGGTGGAGTTGGCGCTGCCGCTGCTGAAGAGGAGGCACCAGAAGAAGGGCCCGCGGCGGTGCGCGCGGTCGAACCCGGCGCCCACCTGGGTGTGCTCCTTGCCGCGGATGACCGCTCTAGCGGCGGTGCTGTTGCCGGAGCCGGAGAGCACGGCCTCCAGCGCGGCCTCCGCGTCGGAGCGCTGGCGGTGGCAGCCGAGGAGGCGGCCCGTGATGACGTCCACCGTGGGGAGCTCGACGCCGCAGTTGGCGGCGTACACCTCGGTGATGTGGGCCTCGGGGGGCTGGCACGCCACCGTGTTGTCACCGGCGCACCCAATGCCAATGCCAATGCAGTCGGAGATGTACTGCAGCGCCATGCAGCCAAGGCCAGCGCTGGTGCGCAGATGAGGCAGCTTGGTCGCCGTCCGGTTGGCGTTCACCAGCGCCACCAGGTCGTTCGCGGGGTTCCCTGAATGTCGTCGTCGTTCACTTAGTCATCACATACTACTCCACTACTGCATACTACTACTACTAGTACTACTTGATATAGGAGTAGTAGATCGAAGAGTACTCGGAGGAGAATGCATGGAAGCTTTGGTTACCGACCGTGGATCTTTGCAGGGGAAACAGCTTCCAGCATCAGCAGCAGCATCCAGAGGCCGAAGCTGCTCCAGATCTCCCGCATCCTCCCTCCCTCCCCGTCTTCTTCTTTTGTTGCAGCAGCTGCGAGTGCGAGTGCTCGCAGATCGCAAGCAGCTAGCGCAAGAAATATTAATGGTGGTGGATTAATGGAGTGGGGGAAAGAAGCAGGCAGGCAGCCAGGCTTTGCGGCCTCATCAATCAGTCCTCTTGTCTCTGCTGCTCCACTTCTTGTTTGAGCCCAAGAGGAGCGAGGGAGAGCCTGAGACAGGACAGGGGTGTTTGTGTCATTGCTTGCGTGTACCGTACTCCCTTCTTCCCATAAAAACCAACTAGATGTGATATATTATAGTACAATAAATCTAGACAACACTAATTATAAATATTAAATGTAGACTATTAATAAAACACATCCATAATCTTAGACTAATTCGCGAGACGAATCTATTGAGACTAATTAATTCATGATTAGCCTATGTGATGCTACCGTAAACATTCTCTAATTATGGATTAATTAGGTTTAAAAAATTTGTCTCACAAATTAGCTTTCACTTATATAATTAGTTTTATAAGTAGTTATATTTAATACTCTAAATTAGTTTCTAAAAACGGAGTAAGTAGGTGGCAGACACTAGAGTCAAATGCCGTCCAAACGTGAAAAATAAAAACACCGGCACCGCATTCATGGAGACTAGTCTAGGCTAGGGGCCCAACGCGCATTACTGGCTACTATGCCTTTACTTTTTTCTAAGGGACAAATGTGCCTATGATCCTATTTTAATGACCTTGTTCTATTAACTTTGTTTGATTGACTCTCCTTTTAAAAATCAAAGCTATTATTTGACTTTATTCTGACCACGACGTTAGCAACAAATTTAAAAAGATGCAATTAGAATATACTACATCCATTTCAAATTAGATGTTGTTTTGACATTTTGCTTACATCGTTTGATCGCTCGTCTTATTTAAAAAAACAGTGTAAATATAAAAAATGGTAAGTCATACTTACTTTTGATAATAAAGCAAATCACAAATAAAAATAAATAATAATTTCATAATCTTTTAAATAAGATGAATGGTCAAACGCTACAACAAAAACTTAAAATGATAGGTATTTTGGTACGGAGGGAGTAAGAAAGACCGAAATGCGGGAAGGGAATAGAACCCAACCTCAAAAATCTATCCCTATCCCTGTCTCAACTGGTCTAAACCAGAGAGAGGAGAGGAGCACAGGCGGTGCGGCATGAACATAGAAGGATGAGAGACAACGATGGTGATTATCGGGGTGAGGTTCGGTTCCTATGCGACACGGAGAGGCGCCCCGAGTAGGGCGACCAGGGTTTCCCAAACCGCTGGGGGCAAGGTTACCGCGCGGTAACCGGACAAAATTTATCAAAAATTCAAATTACTTTTTAAATTTATTTGAATTTAAGGAGGTTACCGTGGTTTTTCTATTACCGTACCCCGCGCGGTTACCGACGGTAATGTAAACCCTGAGGGTGACAGGGCCGGTGGCAAAGAGGTGGGTGCTTTGTAAGGCCGGTGGAGCCGAGTTGTGGCGATTAGCTTAGGTCCACTCTTACGAGTGGTGTTAAATTATTTGCCACTGGACCCACATGTCATAGACACATGAGGGCCCACATGTCATAGACAGACAACGAGTGGCAAATAATTAATTGCCACGTCTTAAAAGTGGCATGGAGTTAAATGTCCCCACCAGCGGAGGTGCAAGGAGAGGGACATCTCCCGAGCAGAGGGAGCCGCCAGTAGATGATGGCCGACGATGAGGGCTGGTGGAGAAAAACGGTGAGTGGCAAGGCCGACTGGTGGTAGTATAGTGGGTGTTGTGCAGCGCGGGCGACGGGGATCTAGGAGGAGCAAGCTGGCGAGGAAGGGGGCCGAGCTGCACGCCGGCACGGAAGGAAGCGGAGTTGTGGCGAAGATGAGCCGTAGTGCCCCCTGGCAGTGCGCGGGGAGGAAGTCTAGCAGCCAATCGGGTGGAGACGTAGACGGAGATGTCCCAACGGTGCTAGCATCGGTGAGGTCCCATGTGACGTCCTTGAGCGGTGGAGACCTAGGGGCGTGGAGGACAGCGCCAGCGGTGGGTGGCCTGATGAAGATCCACAAATGCGAGCACAGAGAAGGTTGGGATAGTAGGCGAGGACGGCCTACCAATCTGTGCAGAGAGGTGCTAGGCAACAGGAAGAGCATCGAGCCCTAATGGTGGTGGCCTAGGGGTTCACCGACGGTGGAGACGATCGACAGGGGTGGGATAGGGTTTAGAGGTGAGGTCAACCGCCAACAACGACCCAGGTTCAGATCCTGGGGTGGGGAGGATGGCCAATGTGGATTGCTTCTTAGCTATTGCTTGACACAAATTGACGATGATGCCTCCAACGAAGTATCTAGCAAATCTAAGTCAAATTTGTCACATATATGTAAACCCCTACACTAAGTGCACAATTTATAAAAAAATCTTTCTTAATTTTCCACCATACAAAACTAGTCAAACTAATTAAAAGCTTTGGGAAAATATGGTCAAATGAGCAAGGACAGAAGTGGTATTTTGGGCTTCAGTTAGCACCGTTATATGGTCTTAACAGAATAGGGTCATACCATATCTTTGGTTTTGAAAAGTAGGATCAAACAAGTAAAGTTGTTAAAAAAATATGACCACATTGATAGTTCGCCTTCAAAATAGGGTAAGATGTGCAATTGTTCTTTTTTCAGCACAACCCTATTCAATTTGCTAGTGTCAAATCATTTTAGGCAAACGAGACAAACCTAAGAGCAAGTTTATAATAGAGGTGACTGCTACCTCTAATTCATTCCATATCATCCGTCTCTAAGTTAGGATATAACTGTTTAGGGTGGAAAATAACATCTGAGATCTCATTTGTTTAGAGATACATATATGTGCGGGCGTGCCAGTGTACCTAAATACACAATGTAAACAAAACATAGGGAACATGCTCTTTATTAATCTTAAAAGATCATAAATACAAATTCCCAATGTAATATATATGTATGCGCGCTCCATAATATGTCATTGGACAGATCTGACTTGTGCGATGTGGTCTCCTGGTTCCTGGGGCCTCGAGAAGCTCCCAGTTAATTACCTCCATAGGTCTAGGCCTGCAAGAGAACCTCCGATTAAGCTGCTTGTGGTCATCTCGTCGTGTTCGCTTCGCGTTCTCCATGCATGGTTGTGATGATGATGTAGATGTGTGTGTGTGTGTGTGAGCGCCGGCAGCGATCCATGGCCTCGTCGGTCCGTGCGCCGGTGTTGGTTGCCCACCCTCCGTTGTCTAGCCTCGTCGGTCTTGAACAACGTGTCGATGTAGATTGTTGGTGAAGACATGCATGGAGTTGCGTAGCTTGAACGACTTGACGTCACAGCTGTTGCGTCGAGATTAGATTAGAGAAGAATCAGGGAGGAATTATTGAAGATGGTTGATGTAGACGGCGGCCGGATTTAATCAAAGCTCGGCATCTCATTTGGGACAAATAAGAAAAACCAACAGGACTTCTTCAGCCCACGCATTGGTTTGTGCATGGCACTGTAGCAGCGATGACATGTCGTCCTCCGATTGGTTGGCCACGTTGCCACAATAATTAACTTAATCAACATGCATTACCTAGCTTGTTGCCATCCAACAGCACTGGCTCGCCGTCCTCCCGTCGTCCTTCCTCTGTACTGCAGCCATACTTGCCTCCATCATCATCCGCTGGTTTTGACGCCATGCGTGATGCTTGACCTCCGGCATGAGAACTGATAGAAGTCTTGGCAGTCGGCGGCAGCTCCGGCGATCCTCGGCGCGCTCCGGCAGGGCGGCTTCCCGACGACCTCCTCCATGGTTAGCCCGCTCCAGTGCGGTGAAGCTTGCAAATCAAGAATGTCTGGTATCTCGACGAGGTCGCAGCTTCGGGTAGATGCATCACCAGCGGCTTGAATTAGCAGCGTCGAGTCCAGGGACAAGTAGCACTGCGTCAGCTTGAACAGACACCGGCATCGATGAGGCTTCTGTGACGCGTAGATGAATCGGCCACCGCAACTTCCCCAGCGACGACGATACGTGCAGATGGATCCCTATGCATGGATGTGTGCGTGTTGTAGATGAAAGAAAACGAAACAATCTTGCTAGCTTTTACCTGGACTAGCCATCAAGCTCCTCTCCTGCGCTTGCTGATGATCGGATCACCGCGCGCGCCCTCTCCTACCGGACACCGGGACTCCGGCCGAAGTCGCTCGCCGCCGCCGGTGCGTGTCGTCGATGGATGGATCACCGATGAGAGTTGATGGATAGATCGCCGATGAGAGTTGATGGATGGATGTGTTGATGCTGGATGGGTAGATGCGTTGATGATGGGTGGCTTGTGGATGCTAGATGCGTTGGTGAATGAATGTGTGGATGAGTTCGCCAATGCCCCTGGCTGCCGAGGGGTCGACGCCTTATATAGGGGTCTGGGGTCGGTGCTCGCCGCGTTCGCGCGCCGTTTCCTCCGCGTCAAGTTCGTTGCAGATAAGGCTTGATCGATCAGTTTGTTATTTGTTCATATCCTTCTTTGATTTTATCTCTTAGCTTCTCCTGGCGTCAAATATCTGATTTGTAATTCGCTTTGTTTCTCTGCTGCTGGGCCACAGTCCGGTGATAAGCGCCTCGCCAGCGCTCGCGCGAAGTAACTAACTAGATCAAGTTTGTTATAGAGATAAAATCAATTGGTTTGTTGGTTATCTCTTAATTCATCTGGTTTTATCTCTTCCGCATATTAACTTCTGAAATCTTGGTGCGTAGGCAGCTACCGTCTTCGGCCATGGGCCGAGCCCATGATTAATCACTTGGATATGCATAGGTTGCTTAATCACCCAGGCATGCACACACATACGACCGTCTACTATAGTACATGCATGCATGCACGTGATTGCCTCACTAGCCAATCTTCACACGGCTAGTTATTGGTTAATTATACATGCACATATACTAATCCAAGTATATATATTCCCAGCTGCCTGTGCATGCATGTATTTGCGTGTATATACATGGCCGAGCATTGCATAGAAATGATAAGCTAGCCAACTTACAAACTGCTTGTTTGCTTTGTCCATCATGAGTAAGTCTTGTGTACACATATAATCGCCAAAATACCATCAAACAGATGCCCCCCACCAAGTAAATTTTGATCGTGGAGCGAGCGAAATTAACTTGGTGTCGTGTTGGCTCATGCAATACATGTCCGGTAGAGTTTAGTCATGCGACGAAAGGAC